AGCGTGAAGAGTCGGCATCGTTCTCAGCTCATTAGTTCCTCCTCTCTGGTGGAAGCTGCCTTCAGGCTAAACTAACCAGGAAGGAGGAACTCTTCTGTTGTGACGAAAAATCTGCCGACTCTTCGGTGAAACAGTTTTAAAGTCTGACGACGAATCTGTTCGTCTTCGGTTCAGTTCGGATGAAGACACGGTGACGCAGGAGAAGTGATTAACGTCTACTTTGGGGTCAAAGGTCGAGGTCGACGTCTTCACCGTTAAATGAGCTCTGTTCTAAAAAACGTATAGATTTTAGTTCAAATCTGTGAAAGACTTAAAGACGGTGAAGGTGTTTGACCTCGGCCACAGATCCGACACTTCCACAGACCGCCGCTCTGAATGGCTCCTCGACAGCTTTTTAACGCTTTCTTCTTTCTCTCTTCTCGGCTCGCTGCTTGAGTTTCATCAGATCTGATGGTTTCTGCCTAACGCTTGTCCAGAACTTGTCCCCTTCCTTCCTCTCTTCCTCTCTTCCTTCCTTCCCTCCTTCCTTCCTTCTGCTTAGGCTGGTCTGTGGGAAATAAAGTGAACCTGAGAAGCTGCTGGGTACCTGTGACCGAAACCTTTCAGTAAAGTTTTGAGCTTCAAGCTTCAGTTTGAACTGTTTTGATGAAAACACCTCGTCACCCAGCAGCTTCTCTCTCAGGTGCTTTCAGAAAACCTGTGTCTGAACGATGCTGACTCGTGTTTCTGTCCGTCTGTCTGACTGTTCGACTCCTGACACAGGATTTAACTCGTACACTGGAAACTCGGCAGGAGTTGTAGGATCGGGAGAAGTCTACAAGGACCCGCGAGACAAATGGACAAAGAGGTGAGTGGTTGTTTTCTCTCTGTTTACTCATTTAAACCCAGCGATGATTCCTCGACTTCTGTCGTGTTCAGATCTCTTGCACTCGATCCCGTGCATTCGAATGTTGAGATCAAATGTCTGAATCAGTTGTTTCTGACATTTTCTGGAACTTTTCATGTCAGAATGTCCAGAAAGAGTCAATGTGAGAAAACAGCAGCAAAATGTCTGGTTGTTGATGAAGTTTCATCACGTACGTAACACGTAGGAGACAGAGTGAGATTCCAGAACTTTCACTCTCACTCTTACTCTCTCCTCTCTCTCTGTCTCGCCCTTTTGCTCTCTCTTAGTCACTCTCTTTTTTCCTGTTTTTGTGAAAGACAAACTGCGGAAAACACCTCTCTCTGTTTCACTTTCTCTCGCCCACGCTCTCATGCTCTCTCTCCTGCTTTCTCTCACTCTCTCTCTCCCCTGTTATCTCTCTTTCTCTCCCTCTTTCGCGCTCTTTTTCATTATCTCTTACTCACTCTTTCTCTGTCTGTCCCACTCTCACTCTCTCCCCTGCTCTTGCTCGCTCTCTCTCTCTCGCTCACCCTCTCTCCTGCTCTCTCCCCCTCTCACTCTGTCGCTCACTCTCTCTCTTGCTCTCTCGCTCTGACACAGTCTGTGTTGAACCCGTGTGTTGTGTGTGTGTGTGTGTGTGTGTTGCAGTCAGGAGCAGGAGAACTCGAACCCTGGCAATCCGGAGAGTTTGACCTTCAAGGAGCGTCAGCGCCTCTTCTCTCAGGGGAAGGAAGTTTCCAACAAGGTCAAGGCGTCGCGCAAACTCATGGAGCTGGAGAACGAGCTCAACACCAAGTAGACCCCCCCCCCACCCCCTCGCCTCCCAGCGCCACCTTAACACCAGCGTCACCACGGTAACGTTAAGGTGCTCCTGGGACGACAAAAAGAAAAAAAAAGAGCGTCTCCTCTCGTTTGTTTCCCCCGTTTTTACTTTTTTTATTTTAATCATCAAATAACTGGACCGTTCACTTTTCTCGACGTAGCTATATCGTTGCAATAGAAGAGACATTTATGGCTTAAAAATTTTCCTCCCCTCATTACGTCAAAGATGTATAATGATGAAGCACTGTAAAAAAGTTTTAATTTTATCTGGTGAGAATTTGAGAATCACACGACAAAGGGGGATATATTTTTGTTTGTAAAATGGTTTTTGGGGCCGAGGGACAAATGTTTATTCTCATTTTAACTTTTGTTTTTTTAAATAGCTAACTGAAACATGAACAATTTTATGGTATTATTTTATGCTCTTTTTTTCTGCATCACGTTGTTTTCACACTTTTAATTCCTCCTCTTCATTATTATTATTATAATTTTTTTATTTTCTTGTTTTTTGAAAGATTAAATTCTCAGTGAGTGGAAACACTGTTATTTCATTCCGTAGCGAGAAAGCATGGGATTTCTTTTTGTGATGTTTTAGATAAAACTCTTGACGGATTCTCCAGAGAAGGATCTTAAAGTGCACAACATTACTGTAAATATTCGGGTCCACGACTGTCTCACTCTTTTACTACTGTAAGAACCTGCCAGGCTTCTAAAAAAAACTGCGGAACTGATGTGATTCAACAGCGTTTGGTGACAGAAAATCCAACAGGAAGTTCAGCCAGACTCTGGACGGTCTCCCTGCTGCTGGAGTTCAATTTTTTTTTTTTTTTTTAATGTTTCGCCCCGAGCCTGAGGTGACTGTAATTTTATTTTATTTTAAAATCATTTCTTTCTTGCAGAGTTGTGTGAAATTAATTGGACTGATGACAAATTCAAGCCAGAAACAGGAACTCACTTTCACTCACAATGTGATTCATGTTGGTTTTCACGATAATAAAAAAACCCCAGAAACAAACAAACAAACGCTCTTTAAGTCTTTGCTCCTTTTGCTTTACAGATATTTATTTCAAACTCCGGGGGGGGGGGGGGAACTCGCACAAAAACTTGCTTTAACTATTAAATGTGTTTCTGAGACGTGGATCACACTCGTACGTCTGAAAAGTTGTTTTCACGCCAGTCGGAGGAGTTCTGGATGTTTCGTGTTTAAGTTGTGATTGTGACAAATATACAGACGCAAAACCTCCACAGTCATATTCACCAACACCACCACCGCCGCTGCTGCTGCGCTGATGTAGAAAAGAAACGCACCACAAACCCCAATGTGAGTCCAACAGTTAAAACCAAACGTGAAATCTCCTCTGCAGTTTCTCCGAGTGACTCCACCCGCGTGTGGATTTATTTTAACTCTCTCTCTCCAGGAGCCTCAGAGAAAATAAGTGACCTGTAAAAACACAAGACATCTGTCTCCTCCCCCCCCCGACAACTACAACGACTCCTTTCTAGGTTTCAAAATGAACTGAATCATTGAGATGGTTTCATGTTTAGCCTTTTGTAAATCATTAATAAATACAGATTTTTCAACAGTGCAGGCTGGAGGTGTGATCTTTTGTCCCTGACGTTGACATGTGATGATTGTGTTGTTGCGTAAACGAGACTCTGCACATCTGTAACAAGTGAAGGAATAAAAAAGGCAGAATAATAAATCATGAAAATGTCAGTTTACTGAGAAATAAAACGTAAAAGTGATAAAAAAGTACAAAACACTTTGTTTACAGTAACGATCTCTGAACTCGCTCAAAAACAGACGACGTGTTTTTTAAATTGTTGGATGCTCAGAATTATTTAAAAACACTTCTCAGTACCGCCACCCAGTGGTGAACGAAGTGCTCGTCATACTCCAGCTCGTCTGATGTAAAAAGGTTTTAGCTTTTTTTCATAAGTCGGTTTTTTAACGAGCACAGTGACGATGATACCGTCTGAATTTCTTAGAGGAAAGAAAAGGATTTTAATTTGCACCTGAAAAGGTTTTACTGCATTAAATAGAAATGTGATCAACACAAAGGAAGTAAAACATAAAACAAACAAAACATCACGTACTTCTGTTCATTTGCTCGAGTCTGAAAAATTATTTCTTTTCAAGTCAATAAAACTTAAAGAAGATGCAGTAACAGAAGTAGAACTGAAACTTTAACGTGTCTCCTCAGGTACTTCACATTCAGCTCTCATCGTTTTCTAGCAAAGGAAAAGTTTAAAACATATAAAACGTCAAAACACAGCGAATGAACCTTAATGTGGAAATGAAAACTTATTTTCATCTTCGTCATGAACAGATTTAAAATAATTTAACTTCTCAAGAACTCAGTTTTAAGGAAAATAACACAGAGCTGAAGTCTCAGTCAACAAAACATCAGTTTCCTCATAAATGAATGAAGTGTTCACAGAAACATTTCAACCTGAGTAACAGACAGAATCAGTCATGTGACGTGAGGCTAACGATACCGCACCTCCATTGAAAACAAGACGTGTCTCAGGTTGATGTGACGCTGGCATCGAACAAACTGCCGCACGGCCTCACTGCTCGTTTTACATGAAACCATCACATGACGTCGCCTGAAACACGAGACGAAGACCGACTGTCAAATAAAGTGAATGTGAATACTGCGATTTACTCGATTTGCTCACAGAAGATACAATAAAATAAGTTTTCTGGAATCAACATCATCTGGAAATCTTCAAACCTTCAACCTCTCACTTGGCACCAAAAACATAAAATGTGTGAAAAACTTACATCGAGAGGATCTGGACAAAGAACTGAGTAGTTCCCTTCCCTCAGTTTCCTCAGCAGAAGGATCGGACTTCCCATCAGAGTCTTCAACTTCCTGTTCGCACTCTGTCTCAATGTCCGAGCTCAGAGGGACGATACAGGGGATCTGCTCCTGGAACCTGAGGACGTCACAAAGATCGTTTCAGGTTTTATGTGTTTAGCTTGAAATGATGCAAACATTTGACTTTTCTCTCTCGCCCCGGCAGCAAAATGACCGAATTTCAAGTTGATAAATTTAAACTGGTTCCAATATTTTACATTTCTAGATTCTGAGTCCCTGCAATGAAAACATGAATAAGCAAAGAAAGAAAGGTCTGACTGAACTTCCAGTAAATGTATTAAAGATACAGGAGGAATCGAACCTGAGTCCCAGCATGACGTCCATATAGTCGGCGTGTCCGGCCTCCACCAGCTCCCTGGCAACATGGGCGCCATCTGCGAGAATGTCCACCGTCCAGTGAGTGTTTGACACAAACTCTCTGAAGAAGATCTGAAGGTTCTTCTGGTACAAACATTGTTGAAAGAAAACCGCTGCCTCATCGGTCCACTGTTTGTCTCCACCCGGCTTCACCCCTCGCAGGATGCAGGGGTAGGTCACTTTGGGAAGATTTATCAGCTCCTCCGGAAGCATCTTCAGCTCGGAGCAGTCTTTGTGTGGCGTGCACTCATAATGCCCATAATCCACCAGGTTTAGCACCACAGTGGTGTCGGCATTCACGATTTCTGTCCTGCACCACTTGTTCTTGGAGTCTGATTTCCAAAGGCAACAGGCGCCTTGGACTATGTGGGCTTCAGGGAGATGAGACGTCTGTTCAGGGAGGTCCTCCAGCATCATGGACACTTTGTCCATGATGGAAAGCAAATCCTCGAGGACGACGCTGAACTCAGACGGAGTCGTCACTGCAGCGGCGAAGCCAAAGTATCCGGTGTCTAAGTCGATGGGAGCAAAGACAAGTTGCTGAGGACGACTTGTGTGCAGGTCGTTCTCTGCGGCCTCGTTCTGAGTTTCAGCCTCTGATGGGATCCTCTCATCGTGTTGCTGTGGTGACATGAGGAACAGTCCGTTAACAACGATTTCAACCATCCAACGGTTTTTAGCTTCTGAAAAACTCACAAACACCACACTGACGTCTTTGCCGATCAGTGGTTTCAGCGTTTCACACCAACATTTTCCGACGTCTTCTCTCTCACTGAACCCAAAGCAGTTTATTCTGCACAGCACTGCAAGGTTCGGGATTTTTGTCAGTTCACCACACTGACGTCGGATCGAGGCATTTGGAATCTCTTCTGTTAATCCATGATCCACCAGGAGGACCTTGCTCTTTTCCTCACCTACATGCTGAACAGCAGCCCGTTGCCACTCGTTGTCTGTGTGAACCTGAACTAAGCACTTGAGGCCTTGTTTGACGTCTCCGTCCACTGTCTCACATTTGCACAGGTTCTTAGCTGTGATTCTTTCAAGTGCAGCGAGCAGGTAGCTGGTCCGAGCAAGTCTGATGTAAAAATCTCCGTCGCTCTGGACGGACAGAACTGTTCCATTCTCTCTGTCTTTGGCTTGAATACTCGGAGGAATGAAAGCATCAGTACAATCGTTGATTGCTTGGACCCCGGATGTGGACTTTTTCCTGTGATTCCTCTTCAGACTCTTTAATGTGATGAGACTTTTGTGGCGCCTGCAGGTTTTTACCTTCAGTTTTTTGGGCAGTGAGACATTTTGGCCTCGAACAGATGGCACGACATTCTCGGATGTTGTTGCTTCCTTCCCGCTGATTTCTTCTCTGACGTGGTTCCGTTCGGATGTCATATCCTGTTCCATTTTACCTGAAGTCACAGGAGACTCCTCCTCTTTTTCGTTTTCAGGGCCGGTTTCGACAACCGCTTCGAGTGCTGCTGGAAGGTCAACCGCTCCGTCAAGAATCTCGACCTTGACTATCCACTGGGTTCCACGTTGACAGACAATGTCGACCATGACAGGCTTCTCCATTACGGCATCGGTGAAAGAGGCATCACTTTCAAAAGCGCTCGTGTCCAACAGGCAGCAGAATATACTGAATCTAGGCTGAGAGAGATACTTTTTTGGTATCAGGTGGATATTCTCCTTCTCCACGACTGCTGAGTTCCCATAGTCCACAAACTCAACTGCGAAGCACGAGGTCCCTTCAGAGCCTTTGACCAAAGAACGATACAGAGCACCGTCTTCCTCGTACACGGCCAGAACAACGTCGTTGATTCTCACAGACACGGCGGCCTTGAGGGAACTTCTGAGGATACTAGAGTTGAGATCTTCACACATTTTCAAGATGGCGGGTTCATCATCTGACAGCTGAAGGAAAAAGCTGTCGATTGAGTTGATGTGGGAGACGAAACACTTTGCTCGGAGACCAGCACTGATTTCCTTGTCAGGCAAACATGGGAGTTGAGGGGTTTCTGTTTTGTTTGTGTTTTGTGGTTGTTCTGAATTTGTATCTTTGTCTTTTTGTTGTTTTACCTGAGAGGTTTTCCAAGTTTTTTCAGGGGTTCTGCTCATTGTCTTGTTGTCATTTTGTTGTTTCATTTTTGTGTTCTTGTTCTGAGCTTTCCCATGAACACAGTTTTTTGTGTCTTCTTTCTTTTTTGTGGGTGCATTCCCAACTTGAGGACCTCTGAAGGGAAATGTATATTTCCCTTTGAGTCGGCTCGTACACTTGACCGGACTCTTTGTGTTTCTCTTATGAAGAGTTTCAACGTTCTTCTTTTTTATCGCAGGAGCAGAACTAACAACAGTTTTTTGTTTTGGTGACAGGCTAAGAATGAGCTCCTTCACCTTCTCATTGACGTTAACGTCTCCGTCAAACAGCACAACTTCAAACGAACCATCTTCACTCCTTCCAAGGATGTCGGCTTTCACCTGCTTGTTGAGGAGTGTTCTGTCAAGCCATTCCTTGACATCTGCATAGAGCTCCTCCTTGGACACTGACGCGAGGCGAAACCTGAGAGCCTGCATGGGTGTGTACAACAAATCAGCAGAGTCTCTGGGAATGAACGTGACGTGGGTTTTCTCAGATATGCTTTTGTTTCCATAATCCACAAAGAACACACTGAGATGCAGGGGTGACTGAACAGGATGTGCTAACACTCTGTACCATTTGCCATCAAGGTACTTTGCCAGGCACAGCTTCCTCGCCACAGCTCTTGTGCTGGATTTCATCATTTTCTCACTCTCTTCTAAGATTTTCTTTTCCAGCTCTTCGATGATTTCTGTGTTTCTCTCAAGGTGGCAGTAGACCTCCCACTGGTTACTAACGTGAGTCACGTAGACTTGTTCCTCCTTTCCAGGACTCAGATCATATGAGGCGTAGACAAATGTCTCAGGAGACGCTGTTGATAATTGCTTTGTTGAAATTGTTGCCTCTGTTGCCAGACCCTGTTTAACAAGCCAGCTTGTTATGTTCTGTTGGGTTTGGGTGTTGCAGAGCTCCACGACATTCAACAGACCTTTGTTTTGCATAATCAATTGAGAGACAACTTTACATCTCAGACTACCGGCGCTGTCCTGGACAAACTTTTTCACCGAGTTGCACACCTCCGGACCCCAGTTCCCACAGCTCTCGCAGTCAGTTGGTTCAATCAGGTTTGAAAAAGTGCACCTGAAAGCTTGTCCTTCCAATTCAACATATTCTGGCGTTATTGCCTGAAGATGATGCTCCTCGACCTGGATGGTTAAACCGTAGTCAATCAACATCACACAGGCATGATCATTCTGTCTGTCTGTGAGGAAGGCCCTGTACCATCTTCCATCTACAGGTGACTTAGCAACACAACACTGAACCCCTGATTGGAGGGGGGTCGTGTTAGTTGAGTAGTGTTGCTGAATTTTATCCATCAGTTCTTCCAAAGCTGGAACTTTAGGTTGGCACCAGAAATCTAATGAAGACTCAATGTTTGTGCATTGAACGTCAAACTCATGCCCAGGTTTGATGCTTAAAGGTTTGAAGCTGACAGAAGTCTGAGCCTTCCTGATTTCATTTTTGCACGAGTTCTCTTCCTCTTCATAATTTTCACTTTGCTTTGTTTTCAAACCAATTTGACTTTTCAGTTTTTCTGTTGCATCTGTGTTGTTTTGCACTGCAGACTCAGTGGTCACTTTCCAGCATTCAACTTGTTTTGAAGTGATCAGGAGATCGCTGATGCTCTGCCTGTTGTCCTGCCCCATCTCATAGAGGTCAACCACAAACTTGTTTTTTCTTATTTGGACAACATGGACCAGCAGGGCTTTGTTTGACACAGCTTGTCTGAAAACGTCAGAGGTGGTGCTAGGCCAGACTTCATCCAAAGGAAAAACATTGACAAGAGTACAACAAAAGGCAAAAGCTGATTTTCTGGCAAAGGCCTCTGGTATTTTCTTGATCAACATGTGTGGCACTTTCTCAATGTTCCCAAAGTCTATGAAAAGAACTTCAGCTCCATGCTCCAGAGTGTCCACCACCACGCCCCTGTAGAAATGCATGTCCTCCTCATAAACTGCACAGCACAATGTTCCAAGCTCAGGATTCAGGAGCATGTCTTCCTCCAGCGTCACTTCACTAAAGTGATCTGCCATTTTTGTCATCATTTCTTCAAACTCATCATTGCGTTTTTGTGTTCTGATCCAGAAGTGGTTTGGATTCTGGACATGCTCAACGTAGCCCACAAAGACTGAGTCTTCCTGCACCTCTTCTGCTTCCAGTGTTTTACCAAGGGCTCCTCCCATGAAAGTTTCATAGTACAAATAACCACCCTGAGGTGACGATTCTTCTGTTCCAGAATTAGACTCAACTCCCTTTGGGGAAAGCTCTTGGGGGGGCTCTGGTTCGTTCACATGAGTATCTTCAGCACCAATCAATGTTACAGAGTACAGATGCTGCTCTTCATCAAAACTTCTGATATCCACGTCCAAAAGTCCTCCCAGCAAACCTGCCCTGAGGAGACCCAGCTGCTGAGGTTTGACGGCCTCGTCCTGTTCACTCAGACAGGAGAGCGAGCATGGGAACGCCATGATGGGTGTTGAACAGAGATCAGGTGGCAACTTGTGGACATTCTCAACCTTAACAGATTCAAAGTATCCATAGTCAATGAAGAAAACTCTGACTTGAGAGTTGATGGGGAGACACTGCACGTAGCCTCTGTGCCATTTCCCATCTTTGCTTTTAACTGAGCACAGTAAACCCAGGTTTTCTGGAGTCGTCTGACTGTAATCTTTGGTTCTGTACTCGCACACTGAAGCCAGCTTGTTTGACATTTCCCAAAGATCTCTTTTCACATTGGCCATTTGACAGTGAAACAGCCTGGGGTTGACAGCAGCAGTTACTTGCACCTTTGCCCGTGTCCCACAACTCAATCTAGGTCTACAGAATGACAGAGTGTCTCTAAATCCCTGCAAACCCGACAGTTTGAAGCAATAATCTCGTCCCCGTGGTTTTTCAATGAGTAAGTCAGGAACTGGCTCAATATTTTGTTTGAGCGGCACCTCTGTCAGCATCTCAACCAGAAAGAGGAAGGTATCTGTGTCCACATGTCTCCCAAACCCATGTTTAACAAGGTCGCTGTTGATGTCAGGGGCTTCTAATAAGAGGACTTTGTGGGGAAGGAGGGCTTGAATGTCACCAGAGACGCTTCTTCCAATCAGGTTAGAAAAGTATTCCTCCACTACAGCATGAGAACAACTTTGAAGCAGCAGCACATTTGCAAGGAAGCCACAAACTATCTTCGGAGGCAGGATGAACAGGTCGTTTGAACAGGAAGACACATGGGTAATGTCGACACTCAAGACGTTACCGTGATCTATGAGGAATACATCAACCAAGTCTTCTTGTCTGTTCTGAACTCTTCCTCTGAACCAGCGGGCAGAAGTCAAATCTTCCACAAGGCAAAACTCTCCGATATCCACTGCAGCTTTTGTCTTTGGTATGTTCTGTATTTCTCCCTGTAGAATGTTATAGTCCAGCTCACATATGGTGAGGTACTGTCCCTGGAAATGAATCAGGGTGGCTTCAGGGTTCCAGTCCATGTGTGTTAATTTCAGGTCCACTGGCCAAAGGGCACATGATGCTGATGGACCAGGATTCTGAGACCTGAAATTAAAGTGGCTTATATTATCCCTCAAGAAAAATCAAGGGTTCGTCCACTCAGCAGTCCACAAGTGAAATATTTTCGATTAACAATTATTTAAGGCTCAGGAAAGAAGCAAATTCTTACATTTAATAAACTACAACACAAAAAATATTTCCCATATTTCTCATGTTACCCCATTAATCAAATCAATTCTCTACATAGTTGCCAATTAGCTTTGTG